GGCAGAGAGACATTCTCGGGCGTTGCGCATAGGGTGTGTTGGCCGTTTGACTTGGCGGTTCAGTGTCTGCAGGTCGACAGTCAGCCGCTTCTCAGTTGAGCCCTTCTTGTCAACAATGACTATTGGGTGGCACCAATCAGACGGGTCGGACACAGTTTCAACGATGCCTTCAGATACCATGTCATCCAGCTGAGCTTTGACCTTCTCGCGGTAAGCATAGGCGACCGGGCGGGCAGTGTACACACGGTGAGGCTTGGCATCGGGTTCAAGAACGATGTCCATCGGGGGCCCAGACATTGGTTTGAGAGTACTGTCGTCAAAGACGTCGGAAAACTCCTCTAGCAACTGTGATCGGATTTTCACGAGGTCTGTCGGGCTGGGCGTACGCGGAGCGCTCACACGTGCGACTTGCTGGGGCCAGCCAGGCGGCAAGAAGTTTAGCGCTCTCAATGAGGAACGTGACAGCAGTGCGTCGTCAAGACCGTCAAAAACATGGAGCACGCTGTCATGTGATTGGTCATTGACCTGGAGAGTGACACAAATCTTGCCGACAGTTACGAGCTTGTCGTCACTCGCTGTCCGGACGTCGTCAAAGTCACTGTCGAGATTCTCAACGAATCCGCCGAGCAGGGAAAGTTGCCGGATGCCAATTGCATCAATGTCACTCCCAGTGTCCGGGATCCATTGAAGCTGCACTGGCTGTGGTTCCGTGCATAACTTTGTTGCAAGTCGAACAGTGTCGGAGCCGGACTCCTGCGCGCGCCGGACCTTCAACATGCCAATCTGAGTTTGCTTCTTACGTTTCGGGCACATTGATTGGAAATGGCCAGCAACTTTGCATCTGTTGCACAATTTCCCAATGGCTGGACATGCAGACTTGGTGTGCGCGGAACGACCACAGTTTGGACATTTAACTCGTGCTTTCGGAGCAGCAGAGGACTTAGGAAAGGAGTTAGAGGCAGACTGTCGCTTCTGCTGCTGGTACGCGGACTTCCGCGCGGCGTTGACATGCGCCTGCCCAGGAATATTGTGGGAGGTGTCAGACGCTGCTTCCTCCGCACGGCAAAGTTTGATGGCTGCATCCAGGGTCAGGTCTGGTGTGGCAAGCAACTTGTGTCGGGTTTCCTCGTTGGATATTCCGACGACAATGCGGTCACGCAGTACATCATGTGTGACTTGTAGGATGGACTTGCACCCTCCGCATATTTGGCCTGAACATGTAGTGCATAGTGACAAGTCCGGAAAATCACATGCATTATACGACTCTCTCAGGGAGGTGTAAAACGCGTCAAACGGCTCAGCTCTGGACTGCTTACGATTGTAAAATGCTAGTCTGTCCAACAAAGGATTACGTAAACGTCGCAAATACTTTTTGACTGCGGCGATGATAACATGAACATCGTCGTTTGCACCGATGGGGATTATACCCTCGCGAAGAAAGCGGCGGAGGTCCTCGTCAAACGCTTGACGAAGGGCGCTCACCCTGGTGTTCAAGCCATGAGAAGCAAGTTGCTGGCACGCTGAATAGTTGTCCCAGGCTTCTTCCCATGTGGCGAAATCAGCCAAAGACGCAGTAGAAAGCAACATTGGACGATCCTGAGACAGCGGCTTTGGTGTTGGTGCGGATGTGGGTGTCGAGCGTGTAGACGTTGGGGCTAAACCCGTGGGCTGTTGTTGTTGCTGTTGGAGACTTTTCAAAGTGTCTTGAAACAGTTTGGACAATTGTTGTTCTCTGGCCTTGGCAGCTTGCATCTGCCCTGCGACTAACTTAGTGAGAGCAACGACTCCAGAGAGTTCGGCTTGGCCATCGCCGTCCGACATTTCGAAACAGGTTCGACACGAACAAAATGCAAATTTGAAAATTCCGGCCTGCGCGTAACACAACGAGGTGCAAACACAGGGTACGAAAAACCGGCAGCAACAAAACAGGTAGAATATGTTCACTGCGCCATGTGATGTCTGCCTTCACAGTCATGCACAAACACTCAAGGACACAGGTTGAGGTTTGGAAGAATACAATTAGATACAAGTGTGAAGAAGACAGGTAAGAACAAACAACCAGGTCAAGCCAAGCATGCACTTCAGACGACTAGTCCAAGATGGCGCATGCTGGTTGTGACTTAATACACAGGCAAAATATATGACGTAATAGTCACGTGATAAGACATGAGCATCATATCACATCACCACACAGCTTTGTCACTCCCTGTAAAACGTACAGGTGCCTGTCGTGTGAATACCCCATAAGACTGTATTTCACAGAGCGCAACTGAAGTTGCCAGAACAAAACCCAAACATTTCAGTTGAAGTTCTTTTTGGCCTTTCCCATTACCATACCAATAGCAATTGTAACATACCTTGGCAGGACTTGCCGTTACCTGAAAACCCAGCGTTACATATGCAGTTGTAGGACCCAACCGTGTTGGTACACGTAGCTTTGGAGTCGCAATTGTGAGTCTGATGTAGACACTCATCTCGATCTAGACCACCAGCCAGGTTGAAACACAAGAAATATATACATGTATATGTAGGAGGGACAAGTCAAATTCACGTAATGGATACAGTTAGCACTAATACACTGCCGGTAATGATCGACACTAATTCCAGGAAATAATGAAATCTGCTAATCTGGCGTTTGAGTGCTTCTTGGTTCTATTGTAGTATTTGTTGTTGTCCTGTCCAGTGCTTGGATCCAGCCGATAAAGGTCCAAAAATGGTTTTTTTAGTTCCAACCATGATGCTACAAAAACTACTTTATAACGAGAGAGCTTGAAACTCAGGGCCCTACCCTATGCTTTTTTGCCTAGCTAGCTCACCATGCATGTTATTAGAACTGATGGAAATATTTTTTTCCATTGATTGGCTACATCAAACTTTCTCTTTGCATCCGGTCCATGGTATACCGGTAATACGGCACCGTCAACCACCTTGATGACCCAGGCAAAAAAAGTATAGGGATGTTATAATTTACAAATAATCTACGTGGAGATAAAAGTTTAATAATAGCTATGAAAAGTATGAATGCCGCAGACATCACCACGCAACATGACAATTTGTTCAAGGTTTGGTTTTGTGTGTTTCCAAAATCGATTTTCACGCTCCGATCATCAGTGGAAATACGGAACTAAAGAGATCAACGGAAAAACAAAGGTTAAAAATCCAAAGAAGTGTGACACATGACGGGTAACTTGTGGTAAGTATTACAAAAAGTGAGAACTAAAATAAAGAGTAAGTGTGACAAACGGCCATGAACAGTGCAGAAACAACTCATGAACACGGGGTGCAAACTCACGAAAATAACCTAAGTGCTAAAACATGTTCTTTTTGCTTACACAAATCGGGCTTATGAGTACGAATACAAACAGCTTCAAGGACCTTCAACTGCTGGACATAACGGGCACGACACAGTACAGAGAAGTGGGAATCATCATACACACTCAAACAATCGGGACGAGATAACAAATGCAAGTACATAGCTGACTTCTTACGAATTTCACCCTCATCAGCTCCATCACCTTCCCTGCCACCTGACTCCTCCTCGTCCGTTTTATCACCATCACCACCAGCCGTCTCACCATCACCACCAGCCGTCTCATCATCATCCGCCTCGTCTCATCGTCATCCGCCTCGTCGACCGCCAATTATTCAACCGAAATATATGCTAGGAATGGCCAAGGCCCACGCGGAGCATCGAAGGAGACCGGAAGCCGGGGGCAAAACGGAACACAATATCGGGACGTAGATGAGGTAAGGACAGTGGCACGGGACAGACGTAGGAAGGAGAACATGGATGGTATCAGACGACTGGCTCGTGGTGAATATGAGTTGGGTGATGATGCGGCGGATGACGAGAATACAGATGACGACGAGGCGGATGACGGCGAGGATACAGATGACGACGAAGCGGGTGATGACGAGGGGGCGATAAGTGCGATAATAGGGCACAAAACTGACAGGCTACTGAGACATTCAGCGACCCGAGACCAAGCTCTAACACATCTCCAGTGCGCAAACCAACAACCTTCCAACTTGGAAGGTTCATGGTTACGTCGGACCGAAGAGGGGAAGGTGAGCGCAGCGAAAATGTGCACAAGCTAAGTCCCGCGGCAACAAAGAATGCCGACTGTTAGAGGACAATGACGAGACCAGTTACTAACATGACAATGCGGTCTGACTACAATTCGAAGCAGCAAAGCAACAAACCACCCAACTTGGGTGGGTCGGCAATATCAGAGATAATGGTGGTAAGTGGACGGATATGGAAGGCGGCATCGGCATTGTACGAAAGGGTTGACGCTCTTCTGGAAACAAAGAGCCCGAGCAGTATGGTAACGTCATGGCCTAGAGTCTAGAGTCCTGTATGATCACGTGAATACTTTCGCGCGAAATTTGCCTCTGTACTGCTATTCAAACCTGGCGCGAGATACGCATAGAAGTACGTTAGTACAATTTCTTCGACCCGGGTTGAAATCAACCCGGGCCGAAATTTCAACCCGGGTCAAGCGCAATGCGCCTGTATTTATGACGCCAGAGAGATAGACTTTGTATGTGAGTAGATGGGAAAAAAACAATTTACTTCTTTTTTGTTTCTTTAAGAACTACTCAGATGGTGAACCAAGGAAAAAATTTAATTGTAACATGGAAATTGCCCACAATTTCCATGTTACAATTAAATTTATCTTCTTGTTTCTGGGCAACAATGAATTTCACACTCGATTCTTTCAGTCGGTGATACCGGTTGTTGTTTGTCGTTGAAATTAATTTTGTATCGCAGACCAAACGGGCAATGGTGCCCAATATTATGATGGCGATAATCGGTGGGGTGCCATATGTCCCATAGCAGAGTTTGAAAAGGATTGGACTTCTTTGGAACAATGGAGAGCCAAATAACTGAAATTGATAGTACCAAATGCAATGGGAGCATTGCTGGCTACCTTGCCGGATGGGTCAAATCAGATCAGCACGAATGCTTGCCCTGTAACACGTACATACATTGATTTGTGTGATTAACGCCATCGGATGCTGGAATGGGATTTGGAAATGCCAAGCAAATTGCAATGAATAAGGCAATGGTGTCCTGCAGAAAACAAACATACATAACCGATTTCAACTCCCTCATACTTATTGTTATAACAGAGAAGGGGAGGAAGGTCTCCCAAGAAAAACAAGTCAATAAAAGCGATAGATTTTCCTGTGACCAGAAGAGAGCACATTACACTTGCCGGCAGCAGGCTAGCACACAGGCTAGCACACGCATTTCATAGGTCACACTCCGCCACCGCAAATTCATTTTGTTTCTAGTGCCACAACACAAGTCCCAGCGTATGTGAAGACCTGTGACCGTCGGATGTGTGTTCTTGTGCTGCATTCCCTTCAGGTGTTGTTTCCCGCATGTTTCCACTGCCCCATACATTCTTATGGTAGTGTAGTGTGAACTTGAGCCACAGCAGAACATTCTTGCTGATTCTTCACCCCTCGGATAAATTCTGGCTTTTTTCGTTCTTCCTCATTCCCATGTTACCACTGATGAAAATGGGTGAAAAGCGTTATGGGTGAAAAGCGTTTGGTATTGGGAAATTAAAAACCGTGTTGTTGTGTGTATAATTATAAATGTTGCTCGCCTACCTCTCTCTCTCTCTATATATATAATATATATGGGGATGTTCGGGCCTGGTTTAAATCTGGCTTTGAAAAATTAATTTTCATTGCTATCAGGTTCGGTCTCGTGTTCTCTGTGCTGCGGTGATGCATCCACAAAGGACGAAACAGTTCCGTCCACAGGTTCAGTTTCCAGATAATTACTAAAAGATTCAAATAGTAATACGACCAAAACAGCAAGTCCATACTATTTTCGTCTATTTCAATTCAGCAAAATGTACAAAACCGTCACGAAGGTTGAATGCGTACGAGAACGACTGACGGACTTACAAACTTCCTACGTTTTACCAGTAGGCCAAGAGGCTCTGCAAATACGATTGCCATTATCTTGCAAAGAAAAACTTTTGTTGAGATTTCCTTTCTTTCGATAGGTGAGTCGCCTTTGCATCCGATTGTTCTCCATGTGGAAATACCGTGGAATCTATCTGGCTTTCAAATTATGAAAATGATGGAAATCCTTTAAATCATAAAATAATTATACCACTGTAAACCAGAAAGTGTAATGACCAAAACGTGTAACGATTTTTGGAATTTTGGCATGATTACCGGTACGTGCAGAAAGTTTAACGATGGCTACCTGGCCACCGATCTGTATTTGCATCTTTCCACAGAAATCTAGCGATAACGTTTTTTCAAAAAACGAAAAAAAGGTCTTTAAAACATTAGACTTTGTGACTCGTTAGACTTTCCTGTTTTACAGTAAATCCAATGACATTTCTGCAATTCCACGATGTCGCACTGTCTGAATGCAACGGTAATTCAGCGAAGATAGAATTATTCTAACAAAGCGTCAACCCACGACTTGACCGGTTGCAGTATCGCAGTTAGTAGTACAGTTGCGCTCCCTGAAATCCGACCCAAATTGCAAAGCTGATGCCCTCAACTAGCACGCCTTGACGCCCTGGAAGCCGTACGAATGCAGCTGGACGTACACATGTACAAGTACAATAATGTAATCTGAACTGGTCCAAGGCGCCAGCTTTGCACTTCTGGTCGGATTTCAGTGAGCGCAACTCTCTTGTGTACAAGCACAACAGTGCGCGCGTCCATTTTACGAAGGAGTATCGTCGTGCTTTCGCGTTTCAATGCAAAACCAAGGAGTTCTCTCTCTCTCTTCACTTGAGCACTCAGCCCGCACAGAGTTGTAGGGAAGTCCATGCCAAACAATCCTAGCGTCTTTCAATGGCCTCCAGAGCGATGCGTCTCTGGTGGCTAAGGAAAATCGCCAGGAATTTCTGCCTGCAATTTTGGACAGTTGGCGAGAATACCAAGCAAAAAGGTTGGAGTCCAGGCTCATGTGGAGGTGTTGCACAGTTCTTACCACGTCAACCTGGATAGTTTTTTTTTTTTTTTTTTTTTTTTTGTCGACATGTGTACGATGGAGACGGTTGGCAGTTTTGGAGCTCCTGCTCCGGCCTCCTTTTCTTTTAGGATTGAGAAGGACTGGTCTGCAGACCACTTGTTTTACGCCAAGGCGCTCAAGCAGAGTAAGGTAGATATATGTCAGGTCTGCCAGGTGGACCTTCAGGGCAAGCCTGGTCATTGCGTTGTTACAGTGAAGAGTTCTGCTGAGCGAGAAAAGATACTGGACGCAGGAATCCGGATTTCCGGTAAGCAGGTGCTCTGCGAGATTTCCGGGGTGGACTTAACCCATCTGCATGTGTTTGGGTGCCCTGTCGGGCTTCAAAACAGTAAATTGTGTGCTGCGCTGGGCCAGTTCGGCCGAATTGTTGGGTCGCCTCAACAGAAAAAAGTATTGTTTGAGGGATTGGAAATAAGTACTGGCACCCGTGTTCTCAGCCTGGTCCTCCGATCACCAGTTCCATCTACGGTTACCGTAGGTCAGTTGAAACTGCGAGTATGGCACCGCGGCCAACAGCAAACATGTTGGCGCTGCAACAACAGTGGCCACGAGGCTAAAGCATGTCCCAACCGTGGTGCACAGTCTACAGCTTCCCGGCTTCCACAAGCACAGCACCGCAACACAACCGGTACGAGTACAAACCCTCCCAGCGTCAGTACAGCCACTGATACGGGTACGGTGACTACCCAGCCCGCAGAAGCCGCTGTAGAGCCAGATGTCGTCAGTGTGGAGACAGGTGCAGCTAGCAACACAGGGCTGAACACTGCCTCAGTCAACAGCTATCGCCAGGCATTTTTAGCCAATGGGACCAGCACTGGCACAACTGATACCAGTAACCATGTGCCGGCTTTCAGCCAACCTGGAGACAAAGAAAAGAGCAGCGGGACAGCCCCCTCTCCTGATGACGATGGCTTCAGACTGGCAGCAGGCAAACACACCTTCTCCGCCACTGTCCTCTCAGGGCGCACTGAGCCACCTGCCTCTGCCTTGAACGACCCGCAAATTGCGTGGGCTAAGGAGTGTTCAAACCGTGAGCGCAAGAAGCTGGCAGAGAGAGTTGAAGCTGCCCGCAGAGGAAGCCACTAGTGCAATGAAGGTAATTACGGTTAATACTTACTGCACTTGCTCTTAATCCCCATGCTGATCCCTTCTTCCCTAGTAATGATAGATCATCAGAACACAATTTCTTTAGCTGTATCTTTTTTAAATGTTAATGGCGTCTCTTAATCCCTTAGCACCCAGCTTTCCCCCCTCCAAGTTAACTACTAGTAGTGTACACAGTCAACATCTCTCCCCTGGGGCTGGCGCTGGCATCCCAGGTCCCAGTGCTCATGGCTCTTGTACCCAGAATAACCTCAGTTCTGCCCCTGCTCACCGCCTTACCCCACTGACACAGTCCTTCATAAGACTGGGCTTTTTGAATGTTTGTAGTCTTCGAAACAAAGTAGCTGAGGTCGCCGATATCCTACAGCAATACAACTTCGACATATTTGGCGTCGCAGAAACCTGGCTTGACAGCACAACGTCAGACAGTGATATTGATATACCAGGTTACTGTGTGATACGGCACGATCGTCCAGTGCGCAGAGGTGGCGGTGTATGCTTTTATTTCCGTTCCGGACTCCAGGTAAAACCGCGCCCAGAGCTTTCCGACGCTAACATTGAATCGTCCTGGATCGAAGTCAAAGGGCGACGAAGGCGACAACTAGTTGGGTGCTTTTACCGGCCACCTGACGAGCCCATCTTGTACTGGCAGAATTTTGAAGAGCAGCTGCACAGGGCTTTCGTGGACAACCCAAGCATCACAGTCATTGGCGATTTTAACGTTAATGTTTCAACCCCCTACCCACCTTGTCCTATCGCCCGGAAATTTCTCGAACTTTGCAACTGCTACGGCCTCACTAATCACGTTCATGCTCCGACTCGTATCTCACCGGCGTGCCCATCAGGTACAACCATCGATCTCATTCTTTCAGCTAGTCAAGACATCAGTGAGTGCCACGTCCTGCCTTTGACCATTAGCGACCACTTTGGGATTGAGGCTAACCTGCACCTTCAGGTTTCTCGCAGCGTGTCACCTCAGGCAGTAGAGCGGGTCCGAGCTCAGAGAAATACTCGGTCGGTGAACCTCTGTGAATTCCGTCGGGATGTCAGCTCCGCAGGGCTGGATGATTTTACTAACACGCGGGATGTGGACACCATGTGGGCGTCGTGGCACACCAAGTTCTTGGCTGTCGTGGACAAGCATGCACCCATCCGCTATGTATCCTCCAACCGCAAATCCCATCCGCCCTGGTCCGACAGAGAGCTCCAGAAGCTCAACCAACGTAAAAACCAGCTACACCGACGGTGGCTACGCGATAAGGGAAACCAGAATCTTCACGTACAGTTCAAGCAAGCACGCTCAAGCGCCAGAAATGCCTATCGCCGAAAGCGCAACGATTTCTTCCGAGCGCAATGTGCCGCGTCCAGTCAGAACCCGCGTAAGCTCTGGAACGTCATAAACTCCGTTACGAACAGGAAGAGAGTACGTGTGGAGCCTACTTGCCCCATTGAAGAAGTTTCGTCAGTCTTCCAGGCAGTAGTAACAGACAATGCCCGTCCTCACAGCATCCCGCTACCGCAAGGTCCACAGCCTCAGACTGCAATGTCAGAATTGCCGCAAGTGTCTTTTGGCGAAGTAGAACGGCTTCTCCGACAAATCAATCCTGCCAAAGCAACAGGAAGCGACGGGATACCTGGTCACCTTCTGAAGTGCTGTGCCGATATCCTAGCTGCGTCCATGGCCACGTTGTTTAATGCCTCGCTTGTCAATGGCACTGTCCCCACAGCCTTCAAACTCGCACACGTTATCCCGCTGTTCAAAGCTGGGGACCCGTCTATTCCCACTAACTTCCGTCCAGTGTCCCTACTTCCCATATTATCAAAACTCTTGGAGAAAGTCGTACAAAAGAAGCTAGCCCAGTTTTTGGACATATCTGGTACCCTCCCCACGACTCAGTTTGCATTCCGCGCAGGCCACTCTACGGAGGATGCTGGTACTTATGCTAAATCGT